AGGAAAGAAGAAGCATACCACACCAGAGCACCCGCCAACCACCCACAGATGTTTGATAGGAAAGAAGAAGCATACCACACCAGAGCACCCGCCAACCACCCACAGATGTTTGATAGGAAAGAAGAGGCAAACCACACCAGAGCACCAGCCAACCACCGACAAAAAGGAGGAGGCCAAGGGCGATAGATGTTCGTTGATGTTTTGCACAAATAGGATGGTTGTAGGTAACCAGCCAGTGAGCCAAACAGACACAAGAGAGGAACAGTCAACTACTACTAGGACGTCCAAGAAAATACACCAACGCTTTAGGTAAATTTGTTTGTTTTTTTATTCTGTAAACTGGGACAGTTTGAAATTCAAGGATGACTCTCCTCTCTCTCTCTAGCATACAACACCACACACACAAACTAACACGCCACAAATTAAAAAAATAAAAAATTGCTCTTTTCCATTCGTCATCACTTCATTCCTTCAGACCTCTCAATTTCAATAAATTAAAAAAACAACAATACACTCTCAAGCTACAAGTTTCTTTTAAAACAACTATTCACAATGGATGGAGCAATTAGTAAAATATACCCCAAAACAAACTTGGAGGGAAAAAAATTCATAAACTAAGATGCATGTTTACATCAGATTTAGTTATTTATAATAGGAAAACACTCGCTGACACGGACACACACAGCAACAGAAGCGAGTGAGTCTGTTCCACGGATGATGGGGGAGCAAGTCTGTGTGTGTGGCTCTCAAACAAACCCGCCGGATATGGTGCGGATATGGTGCGCAGACTTATATTACCACCAAGGGAAGGGAAATCTTTACTTGGAATGAACATTTCTTTTCACGGGAACCCCCGCATATTTTATAACATTATAATTATAAAAAGTAAGGAAAAAGTTTTTATATAAGTTCTCAAAACTTGACCTTAAAACGCCTGTGCACTTTAAAATGCCATAACTTTTCACAGAATGATTCAATTGCACCCTAAAAAGTGCAAAAATGTTGGGAACAGAAGTGTCTCTCAACCCCCCCCCCCCCCCCCTATCAATTAGGAAAATGTTCAGTCTTGACAGGTTTTGTAAGAGCCACACACACTTTGAACACGACGCCAACAACAACAAATGCATTCTTTCTTCTTTCTTCTACAGCAGTGGCCACACACCACATCGCTACCCCATAGAATTACAAATTTCTATCTGACATTTTTTAACACTATCCGTACATCGTGTTTTACTATCGTATCCATACGTCACGGGGAACTCTGTGCCACCACTTTCCAAAAAGGAAATTTACTCATTAATCTGATCCGTACGTTTTGCATAGCAGCCTGTCAAAATGATTTTTGAGAAACACCGAAAGTTTCAAAGAGACGTTCAAACTAGAAGTATTCTAAAAGGTGAAGAATACAACGCCGGGGGTATAAAATGACCCCACGGCGTACGGATAGGGTTAAAAGTTAAAAGAACTTTTCCGGTAACCTAACCTGGTGTTGCCCAGAGTCTATCGATTCACATCTATAGCGGCGTTTCAATTGCCCAACGTTTGACAATGCCATGGTGGTATGTATTTCTACGAGGTCTAGAAAGAAGGTCCAATTAGAAGAATTCACTGAAAATTACGTTACAACAGGAACGTAGAATTGTTCTTTCTTTGAGCTTTTGAATGGTGGAAATAGGCCCAGAAACAGTGCGTTTGTAAATTTTGAAAGTAACTATGACGAAAGGGAGTTGGAACTTGGACATATCCAAGGAAACTTTGAAAACACATTTCAGGGCATACATAGGAAAATTTCTCAGAATTTAAATACAAAACAAAAAACAACAACCCCAGAGACGTCAGAAATCAAATGTTCTACCTGCTCAATCAAAATCATAAGAATATTCGGGGTTTGTTATCAAGATATTCAAAGAATTGCATTCGAAAAAGCTTTCACGCTGTGAACCACAAACATTTTAAAGTAAAATTTCTTAAAAAAACAACAACCTAGGCACTGAGCTGATAGAGCTTTGTAATTCTAAGGAAGTGAAATGTCTCTCTCTCCCTCTCTCTCACACACACTACACAACGGCCAAAGTCCCTGATATGGGAACATTTCTCTCACACACCGTCAACAAGTAAGTTACAAACCACTGGCCACACCAGCAACCCACACAAGACAAAGACACCGTCCACATCTCAAAATTTTGTCACAGAGAGCATGCATGTACCAAACCACAACACCCCCCCCCCCTCCCCTCCATCAGTGGAACCGACCCACCAACCTTCTCACAGCGCCACACCCACAACAGCTTTCACCACTGGGCGCGGCAAACGCTGGACAAGGTCAGACACATTCATCTAGAAAAAGCATTTGTCTGCGTGCTCACACTGCTGGGCCGCGGCACAACGACAAGCAATCAACGGCACTCTCAAACAACAGATTTCATTGTACAAACTAAACAAAGGCTGGATAAAAAAAAACAACAACCAAACAACTGTTATACACAAGTAGTTTTATGATACAAAGCTTTGGATCTTCCGTAATTGATTATCTCCTCATCACTTCAACAGCATTGGCCTGTACACATGTATGTATCACCTCAATTGGAACATTCTGGACAGACCAGCAATCTCACACACACACACACCAAACAATTCAAAGGGGTGAGAAGACACACACCAGGCAACAAGCCATAATACACAACCGTACATCTGACAAACACACACCAGACAACACACGCTACACAAGCACACATCGGACAAACACGCCACACTACACAAGCACACATCAGACAAACACGCCACACTACACAAGCACACATCAGACAAACACGCCACACTACACAAGCACACACCAGACAACAGGTCACACTCACCAACAGCCACAAAATCTTCCCCTGACACACCCTCCACTCCGCTCATCTTCAAACAAACCAACTAGGAATCAGGAAAACCGTCAGTCCACCACCAGCCCCACCTCCTGTTCTACTTCCACTGGTGGAAAGATGGGGAGTCCGCCCAGTGCGATAGCAAACCTGGATCCCCCCCCCCCCAGTTTGCAAAACCAACAAAGGGCAGGGATGAGCCAGAGTTTTACCACTGTCAGAGTGACTGGCTGCGGGGGCCACCATAGCAGAAACCACAACATTTCTGTGCGGAGGAGGCAACATTCCGTCAGTTTGTTCCCAGCATGCATGAGAAGGTCAGAGGTGAAGGAACGTGGGGCAGGAACAACACAACAGGAACCATTCAAAGAAAAATAAATTTATAAAAATAGTTAATATGCATATCTTTAGACCTTATGCAGACTTTGCTAACTTTGAAGCGCTAATTATATGAATAATGCCTTCTATTTTTCACTGGAACTTAAAATCATAATTTTAATTTTTAAAGCTCAAGTAGAGTCTATGGCTGACCCCACACACATGGCCCAACTATTCTGAAGCATCCGGTATTCCAACCCACCCGTCTTTTGTCGGGATATGTTGTGTTGTACGATGGACACAGCAAAATGAAATTCTCACAGACTGATCAGGTCAAACAAGGTGCTCTACTTCAACTGGCAGCTTCCCGAGAGACACGCCACTCCCGAGAGACACGCCACTCATGGTCGATCCGTTTCTGGTTTGGTGGACAAGCAGGCTACATAAAACTCAAGATAAAAAATTTAAAAAGGGAACGGGTCATATTCCAGATGTAAGGAAAAAGAAAATCCCTACAGTATTATGCGAATGACTTTCAGCTCTTTGTTCTCCAAACACACAACACTCCTTCAAAAGCTAAACAGACCACTTCCAACCTGAGGGCTTCTCAAAGTAAAGCTGCAAGTACTGAGCCATGGTGGAACACCAAGTCAAGATCGGCCAATCAATAGGATAAAGAGCCCCCCCCCCCCCGATAGTAAGTATTAAGAAAGAAAAAACAGCAGGTCCCTGTTACAGTTCAGGCACAGTTATGATGAGCATGACATTGATGAATCAGCCCATTTACAATTCTACTGTGCATAAAGACACGTCAGTCAGTAGCACCGCCCCAGAAGGCAGAACATAACGTTCTTGACACAAACTTACAAACTGACACTTGTCTGTCAGAGTCCACAAAAACTGACCCTTGCCCGAGTCCACATTTTTCTAACACAAACACACCTTTAACCCCCCCAACAATCACCCCTTTCAAGCTACACAAATAATCACAATTGTCAAACTTCACACTGACGACTGGGGTCTTTAATTTGGCTTCACATTTAAGACAAATCTTTAAAATTCGGGATAACCTACTCAACGAAATAGCAATTTGTAACCATCTTATTTCTGCTCTTGACTACACAGATTGGTGGGAATTGGAAAAACAAGACAGTCTTGTTAAAAACAAAGTTGGAAGTTGCTATAGACGAAAACATGTCCACTCATCAGACATCAATCTCTCACACTGCAGGGAATAAACGTTTAACTGTGGAGAGAGAGAGGGGAGAGAGGGAAAGAGAGGGAGAGGGAGAGAGAGAGAGAGAGGGAGAGAAAGAGGGAGAGGGAGAGGGAGGGAGAGAGAGGGAGGGAGAGAGAGAGAGGAGAGAGAATGGACGGACCTACTGCTACAAGCCCCACCAGCACCATGACACGATGGCTCAAACTGCACATTCCTGGAAAATCCCAATCAGAAAACGGGTGTGCCTCACGACTATTTCAGTCCTTCAGACTTCGACAACAAAAGTTAAGGACCACCTTGACAGACAGCCCTGGTTTTCAAAAATCCGAAGGAAAAAAAAAAGACAGCAAGGAATGTTTCAAATTGTTTTTCTCTGAAAGTGTTTGGGTTAACAATGCGTACTGCAAAGCTTCCTAAAGGGGCAAAAACCACCATGTGCAGCAAGGAAATCCTCGGGGAATTTTTAGCCAAACTTGCAAGTGGTCCTTAACTTATGTAGAAGTCTGTATGAAGCTAAGAGAGCAACCAGCCATGGATGCTGACTTATGTAACAAGGAAGGTGAAGTAAAAACCACAAATTATTTCACAACTCAATGTCCTTTTGCACAATTATTACTAAACCCATTCAACACCGCATTTTCTTTAAAAATTGATATTACCTAAAAACAAACAAAAACCCCCAACAACAAATCCCAAAAGCCAGAGCTGTAAATGTCAGTCAAAGAAGAGGAGGTGACCTTGGTTATCTGTAGCTTCATCAGCCAGTCCAGTCGGGACAGAGCCAGGAGGGGTTGGGGGGGGGAGAAACATCCTCCACAAATACTGATGTCCCGGAGCACACTGCCCCCTGTCTGCTTGTGACCACACGCCACCACTGCAACGTGTCCCCCACAGACAACGACAGGCACATCCTCCTGTGTGTGTGATCCTCGAGGAGACAAAAGTCGTGGGGAGTCAACCTAGACACAATTTCCTGATCAATAAACCACACGGAAAATTTTTTAAATTTTTTTTTTTAAAAGAGCAAAACAAACCAGTAGAAAGCACTGAATAAACACCACAGCATGGCTCCACACATCCTTCACATGTCTACGCGGTAGGTAGGTGGGCGGGCGGGTGGTGCCGGCGTGCGTCAAGAACAGCCAGCTAACAGCCCACCACCAGCAACTGCCGGATGCAGAGGCCTCGGATTTCCTGTTCCTGTGTGGAGTCGGCGACACCCCAGGCCACACACACACACACACAGAGATAATATTTGCTTTTGTCACGATTCACACAGCTAGGGCTAATGATATTGGTAACGGTGGTGCCTAAAGGGGGTGGAAGCCCTGTCTGTACATCAGGACTCGTTCTTGAGGGCAGATCCGTTGACTAAGATTTGTTCCGAGTGGTTGGTGGTGAGAGAGGAGGAAGGACTTGGTGCGATGAAGGCAGTGGCGTAGGGGAAGCGTTGGTGGCTCAAGAGTTGATAGTCCTTGGCTTCTTGCTCACACTTGCCCAGCTCCCCCGAACACAGACACTCCAGCACAGAAATGCAGTTCTGGGGAAACACAAAATCAACACACGTCATAACAATGATAAATAGTATTTGTATAGCGCATACCCCCGCTAGACAGCAAGCTTTATGCGCTTTACACTATATTATTACCCTAGCAAACCACAGAACACTCAGAAACATTCTCAGCTTCCCGGGAAACTAGAGTGCAAGCAGCTGAATAAGTCCTCAAACAGTAACAAACTGACAAGATCTTTAACTGTCTATAACTGGATATCCATTCCCACCTGGGTGAAGAGAGGAAAATTGGTGTAAAGTGCCTTTCCAAAGAACACAACGTTGGGCCCATGATGGGATTCCAACCTATGACCTTACGGTTGCAAGTCTTGAGAGCATAACCACTAGGCCACCGATGCCAACATATATAGCCTACATGTCATACATTGGACAACAGTAACCTCAAAAACACTGACAACTGCCACCCCGAGCTCTCAGCAATTAGCCCCCACCCCCACTGCAACCTGTTTGGGAACTGGCAGCAAAATTCCTAGACAAAAGAAGGGTCACGATCAGAGCAGCCTGAAAAAAAAAAAAGGACAAGTATTTCTGAAGACAAAACCATCATCAAAAGGGTGCTACAAGCAAGGTGGAAGGAACAAACAGGCTGACCGGTACTACTTCCTCACCCGTCAGAGCAGCTTGTTCTGTTCAGACTCGGAACAGGGCAAACTTAGAGAGTGAAACATCACCTCTACATGAAGTTCAGGATCAGTAACTCAGAGCAGTGTCAGTGTGGAACTGGCAGCCAAACGGGAAACCATTTGCTACAAGCCTGCCCAATGTCTGAGGCACTCATACTCTATAGGAGCCTGGGATGTCCACTTTAAGACGAACGAGAAGAAGACCCCCCCCCCCCCGATCAAAATTGAAAATATGCAATTTGGTATGAATGTGGCCGACTGAAATCAAACGGTCCCAATGAGGCAGAAAAAAAGTTACATACGTAAAAATTAGTTACAGTGAAGTCCACTTATAACGAGTCCACTTATAACGAGTCCTGAAACAACGAGAAGTCTGTTATAAAGACACTATTCTAAAACCCTGTTTTTTCCCCTTCTTTATCTTTGCAAATAAAATACTGCTATTGCGCAATCAGACAGTCACGCAAGTCGGTTATAGCGGAATATTGCTGCTGCTGTGCGCAGCACACAGACCAATTAAACATATAAAACCTCGCCAGTTGAGAAAGCTGTTGGTGACGCAGCGAAACAAAGAACGGGAGAGCCCACGCGAACCAACAACGAAGGCCGGAGCGAATGAGCAGAGAAGTAGAACGCATCGCGTGATAGGCCAGCCCAGTCTAGATTATCTAGGCATACCGTGCCTCTCACTTCTCTGGTGCGGGATGGAGAGGTCACAATGCTGTGATAGATGGAGTGAATGTGTGACGTGCCCAAGCAGACGCAATGCACCACAGGGTGTGGTGGGGTGGGGAACAACACAGCGGGCAAGTTAACCTAGAGCCAGAGACCCAAAGCCGATTTGTCAACATTGCTAGTGCTAAAGAAAGAAACCTGGTTCGATTTTTGATCAAGTAAGACCTAGAGATCATGTTGAACAAAATCATCATCAGGGGAAATACAAAAAGGAATAAACAGAACACCACGCTCATAGATTAGGCCTACTTTAGTATTTCACTTGAATTTATCATTGCATCCCCAATAACGAGAATCCTGCTATTACGGACATTTCGCACCGGTCCCCTCCCTCTCGTTATAACAGGATTCCACTGTATATTGCAGACTGAAGAACCCAACCACCCCTGCCCCCAAGATCACTTAACAGGTTAAAAAACCAGTAGTCAGCTAACCCCCGAGACAATAACTCCCTGCACTTGGGTCTCCCAAGCCAGATGTCGGCCCAACTTCCTCCCCTCCCACCTACCTGGATGGTGACCCCGGTGAGGTGGCCTTCCAAACTTGTTGCCAGCTTTACGGCCTCTACCTGGCGAGACGAGTCGAGCTTGTACATCATACGGGCAGCTGGGGAAACAAGACAATCATACACACTTGCGTTACGTGGTTGCTCATCTTGGCACATTCAGTGTCACTTAAAGTAATGAATCAAGTGACAAAACAGCTTTACTGCAAACAATTTCAGAAAAAAAGCACAAAAAAAGCAAAGGAACTGAAAATCAGGCACAATAATGATTTCAGGAAAGTAATGTTCGCAACAAACTGTTCACCAAAAGAAAGGGCTTGTAAACATGTTAACCCTATCCATACGCCCTGGGGTTGTATTCTTCACATTTTAGAATGCTTCTAGCACGAAGATCTCTTTGAAACTTTCAGTATTTCTCAAAAAAATCGTTTTTACAGACCGCTATGCAAAGTGAACAGATGGGATTAACAAGTAATTTTCCTCTATGGAAAGTGGTGGCACAGAGTTCCCCACGTCGTATGCATACGATAGCAAAACATGACACACGGAAAGGGTTAAACATCTGATGGCAAAATCTGGTGAAAACCATCACAACGGCACTGAATCAAACCTTTCACAGCTGTACTCAATCGAGCCATGCTCCACCCTTACATCCGTACTTAATCGAGCCACGCCCCACTATCTCAAGTAAGGTGCATGACGCCCCCCGAGCCACCCGTACCTGCTAAGCGGTGTTCTTGAGAGTTGGCGTTGCTGGCCAGGAACTCTTCGTTGAGCTGTAGCGCCGTCTTGCCCTCGTAGATGTTCTTCATCTCGCGATCTATCACAGTCTTGGTCGGTCCGGGCAGCTCCCTTTGTTCTTGAACTGAAACAACAGATACCAGGTTGTTTTTGTTTTGTTTGTTGGAGTAAAGAGAAGCACATCCACACAATAATGGTCATTCGGGGATGGGAAAAGGTAAGACAAACGGACAGAAACAACAGAGGGAAAGTAAAGAAGTAGGACCCACCAGTGACACCCTCCACCAACCACCCGCATGCCAGGTAGGCCACGATACAGCACGTTCAGCTTCCGTCACCCACGTCGGCAATTTAAGAGTCACCAAACCTTCTTCTTCTGAGTTTTACGGCCCTTGCAACACAATTAGGTCATATATGAGTGCCGAGGATTAGGTGTTACAAAAGAGCACTAACAAACACAAAAAAGGAGGAGAGACATGGACGATAGATTTTTATACAAAAGAAGGAGCAAACCACAGAGCACCCGCCAACTACCAACACAAAAAAGGAGGAGAGATAAGGACGATAGATGTTTGATAGGAAAGAAGGCGCAGACCACACCAGAGCACCCGCCAACCATCCACTGCCCCTACACAAACAGACAACTTACCATACTGTAGGAAATGGATGAGGCATGTGTGAAACTGGGGATTGGCCCTATCAGCCAGCACGCCTCTCTTCAGGGATTGCAACATCAACAGCAATTTTCCTGTAAAAAAAAAGTAGCAATAACTAAATGCAAGGAAAACTACTTGTTTTAGCAAGGTTTTTATAGCACTTGCAACACAATTAGGTCACATAAGTACCAAAGATTATAAGCGTTACAAACCTAAAAAAGAAGAGATATATATATGTATGTTAGATATTTGATGGGAAAGAAGATGCAAAGCACACCAGGGCACCCACCAACCACCCAAGAAAACCTACAAGACGACAGGTAGTCAGGAGTGGTCACTTGAAAAGCCACATTGCTGAGTGCTCTTCCCTTTCACTTTGACCATCAACAACAGATTTTTCTCATCTGTTCCCGACATATTAGGGAATATCAGCATACAAGTCCGTCTTCCTCTCCCTCACCCCCATCCTCATTCAATGCCTTTGAAGTCATAACTATGACCGAGGAATCCTTCACAAAAGTCATGTCAGAGGCAAAAGTAACACCCCCCCC